TACAAATTGAACATAATTAAAGCATCGTGATTCATCACAAAAGCAATATGGAATTATATATTGTGAAATATGTATTTCTAATGACAAATAAATGAAATTTTGTCTTGAAGCGTGGTATAACATGGGTCAGGGTCTTCACACCGGTATGTGGGCGTATCTGCACGTGGGCTGGCCCACCTGGAGAGGGATAGAGGAGCCATGTCTTAGTTCCTAAGACCATCGGAAATATGTGTTTTCCAATGGTCTTAGGCGACCCCTGTGCAAGGGTCATTGGACCCCCAAAGGTCTCCACCCACAGGTTGAGAACTGCTGTCCTATAGGACGCTATGGGTCAGTACCAACTTGATGGCAGTGAGCTTGGTTTGGTTTTGATCGGAAACCAAGGTGCAGGGTCCAGACACCGCGTATCCATCGTCACACAGCTTGTACGTAATGGGATGGGCCCAGGGCCTCTCGTCCCCACACCAGGCCCTCATGGGTTCAAGGCTTCTAGCCTCTCTGAATCACTTTCCTTACTCATCCAATAGCAGTTTATTAAGCCATGACAGTGGCTAGGAATTCCTCTGGCTGCAGGGAGACATGCTGGGGACAGGGACAATGGGGGCAGAACTTGCCAACAGGGGTTGGTGGCAGCCTGCATGCCAGGAAGGCAGATGAGGGCTCAGCCCCCACACTCCCACAAGTACTATCTCCAGAGTGCAGGGTCTTGAGAGGGGGATGGGGTGGCAGAGGATCACTGTTGCCTCTGCCTTGGGGACAGGATCCGGGCACACCAGAGTAAACTCCCACCCCTCTGCCCCGGCAACACCCTAGATAGGTGGGACTGCATGGACCCCGCTCAACTCTCTTCACTGCCACCAAGGGCCCCTCCTTGAGTTTGCTCCTCTGGTTTGCCTCCTTCGGATGGTTCCCTCCTCCAGGAAGCCCTCTTAGGTGCCCTTCCCGGCTCTACCCATCCACATTCTTCTTCCCAGCGGGGAATGTAAAGCAAAACCTGCTTATGGTGACTAGGGTGCAGGTTTGTAGAGCAATTCAGTGCTTCTTTCAGTAATCCACACACATTTTGTGTTGTGCTGGTGGTGGCAGTCCCCGCTGTGTCACCGCACTCATCCCACCGTGTGTCCTGTTTCCGCTCTTCAGGTCCTAGCCCTCCCTGCCCTCTGACCTTTGTCTTGGGGTGAAGGCTGCTCTCTGACTTCCCCGTGGCCAAGGATTCTGAGGTGTGTAGGTGTGTGACTGGGCCCCTTGGCGAACTGTCTGTTGTTGGCCCGATGCTTGAGCCATGGGGGTGAGCTCAGCACCGGGCCTGCATGAGGCTGGCTGAGGGCAGACTCTCCATGTCCCAGCAGTCTCTGACCAATAAGCCTGGGCTTTTTTTTTTTTTTTTTTAAGGTGATGTTGAGTTTGAGTGCAAACACACACACACACACACACACACACACACACACTCCAGAATTTTCTAATGTGATTGCTTTCAGGGTGGCTAGCACTTTTGCCAAGAAAAGTGCAATTTTTCAGGTCCAGGTTGGTGATTTTCCCACGAGGCTGGCCCTCAGGGTCCTGGGCCCTTTTTGCTCCTTGGTTTTCCCAACGGGCCTGGCACAGAAGCAGCGTGGCAGTCAGAGGCCCAGCTCCTCACAGTCCAGTCCAGCGCCCCTACAGAGCCTTCGCCTGCAACCCTCACGCCCTGCCTTCCTTCTTGCCCGCCTTTGCTCAAATGGGCACTTTTCAGTGGCTCCCTAACAGTGGTCCCTCTGCCCCTCTCCCAGCACTCCCTGTCCTCCACAGCACCTACAGAAGCCTCTGGCATTTCCTTGTGTGTTGAATTGCCCACACGAGCAGGGGCGTAGGGCCTGGATTCTATTTCCCAGGTCTAGAAAAGTCCATGAAACCTGTGTGGAATGAAGGGGTCGTGGAGGTCCAGCCGGGGGGATTCCTGTGACTTCCCGCTGAACTAGTTGGCTGGTGGCCTTGAGAAATGCTGGCTGAGAGGAGGAAATTTCTCAGCAGATGTTTGAGCTGGCAGGCAGCATCCCCATTCCTCCAGTCTGTAGCTGCCCTGATCCCACTCCCCAGGCACACCCACTCACCCACTGAGAGGTGGCCACCTCTAACGTAAGGACAGTGACCATTCAAACTCTGGGTTTGAAAGAGTCCCAAGAAAGCATCTCTTGTAGACCCTCACTTGGAGGAAACTCCTCCTCCTCGGTCTCAGACCCCACATCCTCTTTGGGTCCCCACCCCCTAACTTCGCTTCGCCTAGCTCCATACCCCTCAATCCCTCTCTTGGATTTGGGCTTTGTTGCTTCTGCCAAGTGCAAGTCTGGAGAGATTCTGATGCATTTCAGTACAGACAAGGGCTATTCTACACCTCCCCCACTTTGATCAGGTCTTAGCTGGTAAATCCTTGATAGAAACATTCAGAAATGATAGCAGGGCAATATCTACTTCCTGTGGTCTCCTGGTAATGGGCATGGTCCTTTATGGAGGCACCTAAACCTATAGTCCAGGCGTCCTCAAACTACTGCCTGTGGGCCACATGCGGCCCGCCGAGGACATTTATCTGGCCCACGGGGTGTTTTTGCCCCATTTGTTTTTTTACTTCAAAATAAGATATGTGCAGTGTGCATAGGAATTTGTTCATAATTTTTTTAAAAAGTATAGTCCGGCCATCCAACGGGTCTGAGGGACAGTGAACTGGCCCCTGTTTAAAACATTTGAGGACCCCTGCTCTCGTCCATTTCCTTGTCTTTTCCTGCTGTCCTAGGTGAAGAGAGACCAAGGACACCTTGGAACACCACGTGGAAACTTCTAAGATCCCAGGCCTTACTCCCAAACTGGGAGGTAGAGCAGAAGCTCGAACAACAACATGGGGCCAATGAACTGGGAGGGCTCTCAGCAAACCACAACTCAGTGCCAGCATAGGACAGGGCGGAACTGTCCCTAGGGGTCTCCAAGAGTGTAGTGTCACTCTTCTCAGGTGTAGCAAGCCCCATCATTTGCCACTACACCACAGGCTAGGGTAAAAGAAGAGGGCGGCTCAGCCTTCTGCCCACTTCCTGTCTTTCCTCCACCGGAGCTGTCCACAGCCTCTCGCCACCAACAAAACCAAAAGTCAGCGCATCCATTATTCTCTTCCAGGGTAGCCTTCCCAGCTCCTCCCCCTCCACACCGTTACCATGAAAGACCTATTTTGAGAACAGGTGGGACCCAGTGCATCTCTGTGGAAGGCAAAGGAGGGGAGAGCTGTTTATGTTTCCGTTTTGGCCCCAGAGGGAGAGGGAGACACAGCTCTATGAAGTTCGTTTCTTTTTTTAAATTGTTTAGCTTTTATTTCATAATCATAAATGTAATCTTGCTTTCCTCATTTTTTTCTCTTTTAACAACACGCCTGCGTGCTGAAGCCCGCCGGTCCACCCACGTCTGCATGCACAATTTGGTGATGGTGATGAAAGCCTCTTTGGGACTCTTTGAGGGTCATCAGTACCTTCCGGAAGGTTGAGGAGCTCAGCAGGAGGCTGGAGCAGGCTGTCAGGAGGCCGGAGTCTCTGGTTTGGGTTTGAGCAGTGACTAGCTGGGTGGCTTTGTGCAAGTCCCTTCCTGTCACTGGGGCTGTTTTCTCATCTGTATAATGTCAATGAGGAGCCGTTGGATGTGAACCCCAAAGTCCCAAGCTCCAAATTCACTGCTACCAACTCATAGTGACCTTATAGGACAGGGCAGAACTGCCCCTGTGAGTTTCTGAAACGAACGCTGTACAGGAGTGGAACGTATCATCTTTTATCCCACAGAGAGGCTGGTGGTTTTAAACTGCTGACCTTGCAGATCACAGCGCAACTCTTAAACACTATGCCAGTGTGCTGTGTGCCACCAGTGCTCCTGAACCAAAAGATAGGTGGTTCAAAACCACCAGCGGGAAAGAGATGGGGCAGTCTGCTTCTGTCTAGATTGACAGCTTCAGGAATCCATCCTATGGGCAGTTCTACCCAGTCCTGTAGGTCTAGGAGTGAGAATCAACTGGCCAGTTTCTAATGTGACTGATGGGGTTGGGGTGGAAATGCCATCAGGCCCTTCCAACCGGGCATGCTGAGCCCTGGAAAGAGCTGGGAACTACAAACCTCCTCCTCCACTGCTCTAGGGAAGGAGTGGAGGCTGGCGAGGCAGGGGAGGAGTTTGGTGCAGGAATGGCAGACCCAGAGCATCTTTCCTACAGACAGGGCCCAGGCCTGGTGCACCACCCACCGCTGAAACGCCAAGCCGCTGATGCTGTGGGGCAGTCGAGGTGGGGTCCCTTCCACTCCACACAGTGGCTTCTGCAGCAGGGGAAGAGAGACCTCGGGCCAGGGATGCTTCCTTGCCCAGAGTCCTCATACTGGCGAATGCGCCTCACGCCTGGCCAGCAACCCCCAGCACTGCCCCCACCCCGCCCGCAGCAGTCCGGACAAGCCCGGCTTCTCCTCTGCCCCTTTCTAAGCGGAGACTCCTCTTTCTTCCCGGACCGCAGAAGTGTCACCCCTGGAAGCCAGAATTGGGCAGCCACCGGCCAGCCCCGGCCCCTGCAGAAGGTCGCTGGCTCTTTTTGGAGAGCTGGTGGGACCGGACAATCTGGCCTCCACCTGGCATCCTCCGACACTCAGCCAGTCTGGGGTCGAGGCGCCGGGCTCCGAGCTCGGGGCTCGCTCAGTCGCGGGGTCCAGTACGCCCGCCGTAACGCTGACACCCAGCGAGCGAGGACGGCAGGAGGGGGCCCGCGGCGCTCCCAACCACGTG